GATGGAAAAACAGAAAGATGCACATTTAATTGAGTTACATGGTATCAGACGCCCTAAATTGACTTTAGTGGTATCCTTTTCCCAATTCTCAAAGTTTAATGATATGGGCCGTATTTCTCCCTACAATTGTATCACCAATAAACCACACAAGTTGATGCATGAAGACGGTAAATGTGATTGTATATGCTAGTTATTACATTCAATGTAGTCAAAATCGCGCTTTAAAACTTATAAACGTACACTTTTATGTTTGTAGGTCACCAAAACGCTACTACGCAAAATCGTAGTTTTTTTAGCTAACGTAGTTAAAAACGCGCTCTAAAACTTAAAAACTTACTACTTTACGCTTCTAGATCGCCAAAACACTTCTTCGTAGAAACGCACTTTTCACTACATTGATTACATTCTTCCAGGAGATCATATAATTAAATACTAAATAACAAAAATAGCCTAATTATTGACACTTGTCCTAACACATAATCTCACGAACCGATCCGCTAATGTTGCCTGCACAATCTTTCAAGCATTGATCGTAACAAATGACGAACTGGCTCTTTGCAGAAGCGTCCTTGGAGTCTGGAGGCCACCAGCAGCAGCAAAACCACCAGAATCAAGGTCGCCATCGCCCTTTTGTTGCCTCCCTCCTTAGTGAATTCTCACTTTGGGTTTCAAGTTAGTACTCTATGGTTTTAGCTGCCTGGGAATCGAATTGCATCATCGGCCCTTGTATACTGCGGGAGATAATTAATGTCAATCTGAAAAGGAATTAATCATATGATTCCTAATTAGTAGGAAATCATCAATACGTCTTCAAATTCAATGAGAGATTCATTATTTTTCTTATTACGGTTGGGGTTGGGATGAATAGCTTTGAAATGTTATAAATAAAATTCTTAATTAATTATCCAATATATTTTTATATACAAAAAATAAGAAGGATAATTAACAAAACGATTATTAGAAAGATAATTAGAGTTAATTATTTTAATAGATTACATTTTAATTATTAAAGTAATTATCTTTCTAATTGAGTGTGACTTATTCCCCACGAAAGATAAAATATTCTAGGGTTTTTATTCTTATAATTAGAGCACTCCACAGACATTCTAAACAAGTAAACATACAATCGAATAGCAAAAACACGAGAGAGAGAGAGTGTGAGATTTAGAGAGCTTCAGTTTTCGCACAAAATAGTAGAGCACTAAGAACGGGCTATTTTATCCTGGAGGCGACCGGTTAATAGTCTGTCGTGCGCAACGAAGGGCGAAGGCAGTGCCACAAACAGATCGGTAACCCTAGTTTTTCTTGTTCAGTTTCTAACAATTACTTTCTATAATAATCTAGATACAATATCAGAAATTCACATTCTTAGAGAAATTCATTGTTCTTCCTTTATTACAATTTACAAGATTCTTTTACCTTACTTTTGGTACAAAATCTGTAGATTTAATTATATTTCCTCAAAACTTAAAAGAAAATTCCCAAACAAAAAAAACATATAAGAAAATCCATAAATTTAAATACGAGGTCATTTATAATTATCCTTTCTTTACTCATACCTTCCAATTATTATTAATAATAATTAATTAGTCTATATAATTGATAAGTTCACCTACCGAGTTTACTAATATGAGCTAGTGTATCATAATTTTTAGCACTTTTTCCAATTAATTAGCATAATTGTAAGCACTCTCCAAAGTACAATGGTGTTCAAACGGATTGGTTACCGTGTAACCATATTAACCGGTAGCATTCGGTTAATTTGGATAATTGGTTTGGTTAAATAATTTAGCTTATTTGGTTTAGGTGGGTTGGTTTGGTTTGGTTTCAACACTGCTAACCAATGAAACCAATTAACCAATTAATGATACACTTAATATATAAAATTATTTATACTTCCATGCAACCAACCAAACCAAACTTTCGTGATTCCCTATTTTATTTCCATGTTCACAACAAACCAAAACATCATGGGTCAAAAATTAAATGGGTCTGCCTATTTTCTAAACCAAACATTTTGGACAGCTACTAGACTTTAGGATTACGTACAATATCATGACAACCACCTCAAACTATGTATAGTTTAAGTATTTTGTAGGAGAGCTTTAACTTACTAATGAGTTGTATTGATATGTATTTAATATTTATGTTAAGGGTTTGTTGTAAGCTAACTATATTAGGTGCAGAGATGAGGAATTAACTTGAATGATGATGGTAATCTTGGATGGTTAGTCTTATTATTATTACTTATATATAATGATAGTTTATGATTGTAATAACATATGGTTATATTTTATTCATTAACATGATAATTGTTTTCATGTAATGTTATGTTATTTGATTAATCCGATTATCCGATTAACCAAACCAATTAAACTTTGGTTTGGTTAATTTGGTTTTCGTGTTAATTTGGACGGTTTGGTTAAGAAATTTTATTTCATGATTAATATAATTTAGACTTAATTGGTTTGGTTATGACCACGAAACCATTTGAACACCCCTAATACTATCGGCCCCACGGGACATACACCGCCTCTATATATAGTCGCCAGCCATAGCACGCCAGCACTTTGTTGCTGTGAAAAGAGTTTGCACTGTTGTTACCATGGTTTTTTAGGGAGAAATCATATTATCAGAACTATGACAGAATAATTGAAGAATTTCATGATTTTTTATTGGCGAATACATTGTTTTCGGGTACTAAAGATCTCCAGTTCAGAATGAGCAACAACTGGATGTGTAATGTCGGCCTTCATAAAAGCTTATGTATTAAGTTCAATTCTATCCACTGATTCCCAACGAATGCAAAGAAGAAAATGTATATGGATTTATTTTGAGTTAACCACCTGAAATTGCATAATTGAGTATAGTGGTAAGTTAGATAACTCGATCAACAAAAATACATATGAATTAATTAGGGTTAATATTTTCGTATGGCCTGAACTTTGACCAAAATAAACATTCTGGCCAATTTTTTCGATCTATAACATCCTGGCCCGATAATTTTAGAATAGTGATTTGAATATGTTCAACTTGATAATTTTTCTAGTTAACCCAATCTTATCATAGAATAACACTGGATTGAATGTCTAAAATCAAAAATTTCATAAGAACTATAGTAACTACGGATCCAGACGAGGGTTGGGCCGGGGCCTGGGGACTGGGGTGGCCACTGGCCACCCCCTGGATCCGCCAGTGGGTAGTGGGAATATATATGTGGTAAGTGGGAAAATAGAATAAAAAGAATTTTAAAATTCTTTTTATGTATTATCTTTAATAGTTACAGGACTTCTCCACAATCCAAATCCGGAGCCTAAGTGCAAATTTGAAACCTTTCTTGTGATAATTTTGGACCAACAAACTTCACATTCAAATTAAATAACTCATCTCTCTCTACCTTTCCCTTCTCCCACTTCTCACTAGTGGTAAATTACAGATCTGAAAGGGGCTGCCGCCGGCTTCCTTTTTGGGACCCGCGGTAGCCCTAGATCCTCCCTCTTGATGCTTTCCTTTGTTTTCTGCTTTGCCTTTTTTTTCCAGTTCCTTTTCTTTTTTGTTTCTTGCATCTGGTTGGGATTCCTCTGCTTCTACTTTTCGTTTGCTTTCTTCTCCATCCTTGTGATGATGTTGCTCATGCCTCCTCGAGGAGATGTTTTTGCTGCCCACCAGATTCTAGATTTGTGTGGATGATTCTCTGGTAGGTGTTTGAGGGGGCCGATCCGCGTCGGTCCGCTTGCTCCTCTCTGGTCCTCCATCCTCCTCCATAGAGGTGGCAAATGGATTGGATTGGTGGATTGGTGGATTAGATTGGTGGATCCATGGATCAAATGGATTGGATCAAATGGATTGGTGGATTCATGGATTGGATCAAGTGGATTGGTGGATTATCCATGAATCCAAATGACATCCTCAACCAAAGACCAATATGTAAAATGTAAAAAGCTTAGGTACTAAAATGTCATAATGAAAAATTTTAGGTACCAAAACGTAATTTTCCAATGATATTTTTCATAAAAAAAATTAAATTTTAGGTACCAAAATGTAAAAAATAAAAATTGTAGGTACTAAACCGTAATTTGCCAATGATCCATGGATCCAATCCATGAATCCACCAATCCAATTGGATTTGGATAAAATGGATTGGATTTAAATGGATTGGATTATGTGGATATTTTTAATGGATTGATGGATTGGATTGAAATTGCCACCTCTACTCCTCCACTTGCTTCATCCATAAATGGGGATGTTTCGGAGAAGAAGGGACCTCTGTTGTCTTGGCTGAAGAATCAGGGAGCTTGTGAGTAAGGATGTCACTTTGGAGGACGAGATCCAGTTGTTTGCTCAGATTGTGGTGATTTTGTCACTATTCCTCTATCCTTGGCTCGAGATTGGCTCTCGGGTTTTACTTGTTTGTGCAGGTGGAGTTTGAAGTCGTCTTGGGGAATGGTTCGCCTCGTCGTTGGTTCTCCTTTCTTTCCTCTGGCCGGTGCTTTGTCGGGCTGGTGGTGTTGCCGGTGCCTGGAGCTGTTCTTGGCTTCTTCACCATCGTTCCCCAGCGTTTGTCTTTGTGAAGGCAGAAGAGTGAAGGAGGCTGTGTTCGGCGGTGGAGGATGCAATCAGCGGTTGTCCTCATGGTGATTGGGCCAACGAAGTAGGGTTGCTAGGGGTGGGTTGTCCTTGTGGGTTTTGGACCAGGGTTCTTTGGGCTTTGTTGGGCCATCGTTAGTTTCAATCTTATTTTGTTTGGTTTTTTTCCTTCCTTTCAGTGTTGTAAAAACTCTGTACACCGTGTTTCGTATTAATGAAACGGCCACCCCCTTTTCAAAAAAAAGAAACCTTTCTTGTGAAGGCTACTAATTGCTAACAAAATCTAATCATCGATTCGTGCCGTATAGTAAGTAATTGCAATATCTCGAGCAAAACTGACACTACACTTGTATTGTAGTTATTTCATTCATTTTGGATAATATAAGAGAGATAATACAATAAAAATAGCCTAACTAATGACGAAGTACGTAGTTGGTCCATTGGTAGTAGCCCGGAGCTTGAATAGGGTGTGATTCTGTTTGATGTGGCCTGCACTTGTCCAGACAGAGAACCTCACAGACCGATGCGCTTATATTGGGTGCACAGTCTTTCAAGCAGTTATCGTAACATATGTCGAACTGGCTCTTTGCACAAGCGTCCTCGGACGCCGCCAGCAGCAGCAAAACCACGAGCACCAACGCCGCCATCGCCCTTCTGCTGCCTCCCTCCATAGAGATAGAGAATTCTCTGTTTGGGCTTCAACTCTCTATGGTTTTAGCTGTTCATGGGAATCGCATTGCATTGCATCCTCGGCCCTTATATATTGCGGGAAGTAATTAATGCCAATCTGAAAATGAATTTATCTAATGATTCCTAATTAGCAAGAAATCAACAATATGTCTTCAAATTTAATGAGAGATTCATTGTTCATTGTTATTACTTCCTAATGAAATAAATTCTTAAACGAATTCATTATTCTTCCTTTATTACAATTTTCAAGATTTTGTTACCTTATTTTTGGTACAAAATCTGTAGATTTAAGTTTATTTCCTCAAAATTTAAGAGAAAATTCACAAACAAAAAAAAACTAATAAGAAAATCCATAAATTTAAATACAAGGTCATTTATAATTTTTCTTTCTTCACTCATACCTTCCGATTAGTCTATATAAATGATAAGTGTTGGGGGTACCACTAAAAGGGGCCCAAAAGAAGGCCTAAGAAGGAGCTCGCTCAGTTGGCGCCAGCCCAAGGCGGTGGGCCAGAAGAAGAAGCCCACAAAGCCCACTTCATACCAGGTGACATAGGCTAGGAGACAAAACACTAAGGGCCAAAGAAGTCCAGGCTGGCAGGTGGTCCCTCGTCTGTGGGCGCCTGCCAGCCGACAGAAGTCTGACAAGGTGGTTGAGGCTCCTGACAGAGGTGAGAGTACAAAGCATTTAATGCGACGGTGACGTGGAGGAAATCCACCTAGAGCTCGGTGAGTATAAATAGGGGGCAGTTGGTAGCATTTACACATGTTGGACTCTCTCACTAAAACTCTTGCTCTAAAGCACTTCTCTCTCTAAGATACTAACTTGATCGTCGGGGGGCTAACGGGCCCGGGCGCCCCCCTCTAAGCTCGTGTGTGTAGACAGGCGCCAGACGGAAGGACGCAGACGTGTGGACGGGGCGTCGGGGCACAAACAATAAGTTTACTTAACGAGTTTACTTATATGAGCTAGTGTGTCATAATTTTGAGCACCTTTTTCCAATTAATTAGCATAATTGTAAGCATTTTTTCCCAATTAACTACTTACCCCATTATTAAGAATTTAGTGAAATGTCTGTGGATTCTTTTTTCTTAATTTATTAGATTTGGGCCCGCCCGTTGGACTGAAATATTTTATTAATGAAAATTTTGGATATATATAGCTTAGTTTGGCCCTGCTGTAGCTTTTGCAGAAGCAATTTTTGGCTAGAGCTTTTAGATCAGTACTTTTCAAAAAAGACAGTTGAGTGTTTGCTGTAAAACTATTAGAAGTGTTTTTTAATGTGAGAGATTGTGTAAAATGACTATAAAGAAGTTATAATATAAAATAAAAATAAAAATTATAAACAATAAAAGTAGTCAAATGGATCTTGTTAGATTTCTTTTATATTAAATAATATGATTTTATAATTTATTTTATTTTAAAAATTATATAAATGATGGAAAATTATATTTTCTGAAATAAAATTAAAATATGGTAAGGATAATCTTATTTTCAAAACAACTTTTTGCAGAAACTCAAAATCGGAGCTTCTGCTTTTATGCTATACAAAAGCGCTTTTCGGCTTTTCAAAAGCCGAGCTTTTACAGGTGTTTGGCTCTGCTTCAGCTTTTGAACCCGAAAAAGACTTCTAAAAGCCGTGCCAAACATAGGGTACATTTGGTATGATAAACTAATCCAAACAAATTCGTTATTGAAAAATAAAAAATGAATTTATATCATAGAATTTTCTGGCATTCTAACTGATTCACGCATGTAAAATTTACTGTATCTATGTATTTAAAATTCTCTAAGATTCGTTGTCAAAAAAAATTCTCTAAGATTTGATCATTAGTTCTTCCTTATCTTCAAAAATGCGTACTCGCTTTATGAGGTTCGCGAGGCTCGCATTTCAAAATATCTAGTTCCTTACGATCTAGAACGATGTAGTCAAATTTATAGGGATTTTTCCAAAAATCGGAGTTGAATTATGAACCTATAAAATGAAAGCAATTAGATTCACTCCACAGTAAAAAAAACACATTTTAGCATGTATGATATCCCCCCACCCCCAATCTTTGAAGTTACGAAGAATGGAAGCATAGGATAGATTGTTGCCAAGTTGATGTCGTCTTCCATGTTTCATACAATTCCTACATAACTACTTGTCACTTGTCAGAGTCCTTCATACCTTTACGTAGACAGGTTTCACATCAAGTATGACACCTCCCATTCCAACTTTGACAATTTTGCATGGATCTTATACAAATTTTTCGAAAATATTGAGAAAATATTTAGCATTAACATGTTAATAATTCTTTATATTGCAACCTGTATTTACATCCTCTCTATTCTTCATTTTCAATTCATCAGAGCTCTTGCAATATTTTGGTGTCGATTGCTAGTTGGGTTTCATCTTTAACTCTCGTTAGAGGATGTGATGCATATGTATACAAAATTTTGTTTTTCTGAAACTCATAGTTTATAACACACCACAACATACATAGATTCAAATACCTAAATTTTACATTGAGCAAAAGTCAATAAGTTCAGGAATTCATAGATTTGTCAATAGCAAGGTAGCTACACATGAAAAGGGCTTTTCTATATATAGGGCTTTCATTTGTAAGTTTGGGTGTCCATTAATTGACCAATATTAATTTCTTAGCTAATAGATTACAAAAAACTAATAAACTATGTTTCTGTAGCGTTATATTAAGAGATAAATATTGATGTAATGACCATGATGAAAGGACGATCACCAATATTTGTGAGAATATAATTTATTGTCATGCCTCAGGCTCATAGAGTAACCTTCACAATTAATCATCTGGACCAAATTGTATATTAGGCCCGGGATCATAACATAAATAATGCTTACAATTTTAAAATGTAAATTTAAAAAATAAAATGCTCAGAAATCATTAGGGATGGCAATGGGTCGGGTCGGGGACGGATAGTGCATATCCGTTTCCCTACCCAAACTAGTTCGGGTTTTACCCATACCCATACCCGCATGTGAAACGGGTAGAAAATTAAAACCATGCCCATATCCTTTCGGGTTTCGGATATCCACGGTTATCTATGGGTAATGATTTCTCTTCATAACTCCAAACACATATGCTAACATTCATATGTATTCTCACATTACTTAAGAGAAAAAGTATGACAATAATTCATTAGAATGAAGAAAATTAATTAAAACAACACAATTTCACAAGAATATTATATTTATATGCTAAATATAAAATATGTTAGAGAAAAATAATGATTATTTTTAGACAAAATACATATGTATGTGTATAATAGGGTTGGATAGTGAGAAATCCATGCCCACCCATTACCCGCAATATTCGGGTTCGGGTTTTACCCGTACCCATTAAATGTCTTTCGGGTTCGGGTATTACCCTACCCGATTAGGCCGGGTTCGGGCAGATATCCACGATTACGGATATTTTTGCCATCCCTAGAAATCATTTGTCCGGTATTTCTTTGTGCTTTTAGCTTACCTAAAGATTACTAGCTTATTACCCGGCCCCTTGGCCGGAGATAGCCCAAAAGAATTGGTCGCAGAACTGTTGCGAATATCTACACATCAGCTTGCGTCTTGAATGCGTCTTTGCTCGGCCCGTTAGTCTGTTGTGAAGTAATCATTATGAATAGATTTTGGTAATAATTAAGTAATGGTCAGTCATTTTGCATTTAAAAAATATTAGTATCGATACCCACAGTTACATCACGAAAGGTTTAGAACTATTTCATACATTTAAAAGCACTATAATGTTGATGAAAATACATATAAATTATATAAAGTAAGGAAGTACCATATTTTTTTTGGAAAATAATATTGACACTTTACACAACCCGGTCCATCAATTCATATTTCTTCATGAATTTACTTGCCCGACATCAACTGCAATCCTGATACTATGTGCTTCCCAAGATTAAAAAAAAACAAATATTAATATTTAATAGGATGACAACTGACAAATGCTAGACGAATCCTTTTTCTAGAGGGGCATCTTAAATCGAGATCCAGAAGACCATTGAATCCGCACCGCAACTGTAAGTTCATAAGCTCTAACACAAAACACAGGAGAATCAGTTTACCTCTATTAACATTTCCGAAGCTGCAGTTTGACCCTTTATAAAACAAATAATGCATCTGAAACTTAGTTGTCAACACTTCCCGGTTCTTGCTTTACAGCCTACATGTCGCAAATAGATAATTTGGACATGAACATATGGGTTGGGAAAATGGCAAGTCTGCTGGTGTATACAGAAAAGAGCACATCAATTTTTAAAACAAAGGAAGCATAATATATCCTACCAACATATATAAAACAAAAGTACTTCCACACTGCAACATACTGCATATATCCTACCAACATACTGCGGAAGACCATTGAATCCGCATCACCTGTAAGTTCATAAGCTCTAACACAAAACTCAGGAGAATCAGTTGACTATATTAACATTTCCAAAGCTGTAATCCTGATACAAAATTGTTTAATTCACGCCCAACAATTGAGCTATTGTGCAATTTTGGGTTTGGAACAGTCATTAGTAAATTGGAGGGGGCTCAAACTATTTGCCACACATCCTACATATAAATTCCTAATTATCATAATCCCTCGTCCGGATGGCCCAAAAGAGTTTGCAACTCAACCATCCGAAAGTTCTAGCAATATATGGGTCATCCAACAACTACGTATAATTGCCTACTATATATGTACATTAATTAAGAAAGGAACGCATAATTGCCTACTATATATCTACATTAAGAAAGGAAGGTATATTTGCCTCACAAAACCTTCAGAAACTCCATAAATAAATAAAGTCACGACCTTTGACCAACTACTTTCAGTAACCCATTGGCAAGAATAACTTGAGAACAACCAAATCACAGTAATCTTCCACATCGTTCCACGGCCCGATCAAATCACAGCTGGTATTTTTTTCTCAGTTACCACTTACCATCTTGTCGTAGTTATACCACTACAATTTCTACTTCACAAAACAGTTATAAAATATTAAAGTATGATGCACCGACAAAGAAAGAAGACTCATTTGCCAGTAAAGAGCATCGGTCAAGATAACGAACAATGTAGCATACATGAGTTATCTTTGGTTTCTGTAATAGGTTCGAAAAACCCCAACAAAGCTCCAATTATTTGGTAAAGCTTAAAACCAAAATGGGAATGGAAGAACGAAGTAAAAGGATAAACTTTGGTACCTAAAGCTGGGTTTGCCAGCTGCAAGTCTTCCGCATGCAAGACTACTGTATGTTACCCACTTGTGGAATGGGAGAGAAAGCAAGTGAGAATGAAGGGATTGGGATTCCACTTTATTAGGACCAACCCACTAATCTGATTCTTCCCGACCCGTCCTAACCTAAAGGGTCAGAAAGAGTCAATAAGAAAATACGAACGGAGAGGATTAGTCATATATCTTGACTCTTCAGAAGTGGGTCAAACATGATCAAGGTTGGGCGAGGGAAATTTTTAGCGCTAAGCAGAGTTCTGGGTTGAATAACTTTACTTAGGCCTAGAAATTGGTGCTGATGCAGACTGCAGTTTTTATTATACCATCATCAATCATCATTAAATTAGTCCTGGGAATTCCTCCCCGTTGTCGGTCTGAATTCTAATGATGGCTTTCGTTCCTTGCACCAGCCATATTAGCGAGTAGTCATCTCGAGCATGATTTGCCTATGTACAAATGATACAATTAGAGTATGAAACTGAATTCAAAGAAAAGGAAAAGAGATTTCTATCACATGCCAATAAATACACACATAATAGTTGAAGTTAAGTGAAAGTCATTACTCGCACATCAATTCTCAAAAATTACAGACTAAACAATGGCTAGAATGGCACTGAAACTACCAAGAATCATGGACGAAACAACTTGTCAAATTAAATAATCCTTATACTGAAACTACCTTCTAACTTGAAATAAGACATGATCACAGTTCATAGCTCTCTTCTCACTATGAATTGGTTGCAACTCGTCTTTAACACTGCCTCCCAAGCTCATTTCAAACAGAATAGAGACCGTTATGTAAGATAACCATATTCTTACTGATCATAATTCCTTTCTTCACTCCATTTTTGTCGGAGAAAAGAGTTACCCCCCTCTCCTGCATTTCCCTTTCCCCCTCTCTTCTCCCTCTTCTTCACAAACCGATCCCTAAATCAGCAACAACAACACAAAAATAGCCTTCGCCTCTGCCATCTCCATCTACTGAACGCGTTGGTGGCAAGACAGGACTGCAGAAGCAAAATTTTCTAAAATCAAACTAAAATTTTTGAAGGAGACTCAACCACGAAAAAAGAGTAAAGCAACAATGCTAATAGTTCATATGGTTGGTTTTGATGTGATAAATTGCTTTTGTTCTGGTCTCCAGTATATCAACTGCAACAGAAATGTTTCCTCCAATCATCTTTAGTGCACGATTTAGAAGCAATTCCTCCTGTTTGTGTCAAACGGAAACATTCATGGGTTCTTAACTCCCCTGTTAGTATAAAAGCAGCAGCAACAGCAAAGAAGTTTGACAACACAGCAAGCACCCAGGGAAAATGATACAATGCAGTAGGTGATATGTGTCTCGAAGGTTTTGAGTTACTAAAGTTCATGTTAAAAATAAACATGAATTAAATATATTATTCTATTAAGCAAACATCCCCTCTAATCATACAAAGATCAGATATCCAATTCACAAACAATTAAGCCATAAAAAATCATCACACATCCACCACCTTTGATTGCCTAAATTTGGTTTTTCGCAAAGTTATGGACCCTTAAGGGTAACGTTCATGGGTAATCTGTTTCATAACTCTAGAGAGCACAGTAAGCAGCCACCAGCCAGACACAGTGCTGTAGGCGAATATGATTCTCAATTCACAATTTCTCACCACCGGAAGTAAGAACAGACCATAATAAGCGTCGCGTTCATGGGTGGTCTGTTTCATAGCACTACTACACAATTTGTTAAAAAAGAAAGAAAGGTATTTAGCATCACGACTGAACAACTTTTACAGGCCAACAACGACAACATGCTGCAACCACCAGAACTGGTATCACAACTCATAGGAAAAATCAAAAGATTTACTCTCAAATTAAGCAGTTACAACATCGAGCAATCGTCAAGCACATACACCATCACAAAAGTCACGAAAACTGATTCACAATTGTTATCCTTTCTTTCGAAAAAGATAACATCGAAAAGCCAAGAAAGAAGAAGAGATTACAGGGGGAGATTACATCGAAAAAGGAAGGGAAAACCGCTACGCGGCGCTCGAAGATAGTACCAATATAATCCTCCCATAGGCATATGTTAAAAAATTTCGGCATATATCATAATTGTTAAATTATCTAATGTAGATTCATTTAGAGCATTGAGTTTTATATACTGTCAATGTAAGACATTATGTCTCAAATTTTCAACAATGATACTCAAATTTATTATCTTATACAATATTTTTTAGCTGAATATATTCAAAATTAGAAATAACTCTAAGTAAGGCTTATTGACCCCTTAGTATATCATTGGATTTTCAGACCATGCAATATCCTCATCGGCCCGACGTTAGTGACAGTAACACCTCTAAACTAATATTGGACACCTTAATGAATTGGTCACTGTCTCTCGAAGCATTTGTCGTCAATTTAAAGAGATGTAGTTAGAGCATTGGTGTTAAGTGTTAACAGTAATTAAAGTAAAGTTCTTATGCAATATGATAGCATTTGACTACTTGGCTCCTATAGCTAGTGTAATGACCGAGCTAGAAGTTCAAGTATAATAATTGTTGTAATTTAACAATAACGAAATATTAGTACAAACTTCAAATCTCAATCTAACAATGAAACATAATTAATAAAGTGAAAGAAGTGTCCTTCCACAAAAATAAACCTAACTATTCTCTTATATTTTTATTAAAAATTTAAAATTTCCAGCCATGTTGTGTTAATTAATTAATAGGATAAAGGGGGTGGCGGCAGATTTTTTTTTGTTAGCTGTTTTTTATTCGATATTATTTTTATTTCTAATAATTAAGGTGACAAAATTATGCTTCTTACAATCACTCAGAAGGCTAGAAAATTTAAATGAAAGGTGTTTTGATGGAGAACCTCCATATAATAGTGGCAGGAGGATGCTTTCTTCTTTAACTTTCGGTGAGGTTATATAGGTAATTAACAAAGATGATTTTTTTTTTGTATTTTTTGAAATATGGTCCTTAAGTTTTGTCAAAGTAACCACGTAACCAGAGAAAAGCCCGCGTCTCCAACTCCTACTACACTAGTAGGGTGGCAATAAGACTGCGGTTTCACCAAGCTGCTGACTGCATCCAAATTGTATGGTCTTTGGGTTAGCCGCAAACTGAATAAAAATACTATTTATACAGTTGTGATGTGAAAGTGATATTAGCTATTTTGCGATTAGTAGTTTAATCACAACTACAACTTCATGAACTAACAGCCCAAAAAAATGCCTGCCCAAAAAAAATGTCAGCCCAACCCTTTTCCAGCGGCCCAGTCCATTCTACAAAATACAAGGGCTCCCCGCGAGATACAATCGACCACGGGATATACACCACCTCCACTCCATAACCGCCGGCCAAAACTCAAAAGTCCACCTCCAGCCAGTTATTCCTTTCTCTGTTTTTTTTTTGTCATTCAAAACCCCAGAAGCGGGGAATGAAAAAGATACATTATCTGAAAAAGATACAAAAGGATCCTTACATACATCGGAACCAAGAAACGAAGTCGAACCCCTTAAATATACGGGGCGACATGAACAGGGCATGACGAGCCACAGAATGAGCTTCCCTGTTCTTAGAACGACCAATGAACCTAAGCGAGTAATCCGGTAAATCATCCAGCAAGCAACATATTTCCTTCAGAAGAATACCGACTTTGGAATGGTGAAAATCTCTGGCACAACACTTGTCAATTATGATCTTCGCATCCCCAGCCACACTAACTGAATGAAGATTCCTCCTCTGACATTCAAGCAAAACGTCCCGCAACGCAAGCGCCTCCAACACCAACGCATCATTCACACCATCCCATTGCCGAGCTTGCGCCGAGAGAAGACAACCAGAGCTATCTTTGATCACAAAAGCTGATGTACCCAGCAAACCCAAACGAGTAGCCCCATCGAAGGTAACTACATATTGGAACCCATTTGCCACATGCACACTCAAAATCCCATTCGGAGTAGAGCCCAGAGTAGCGCTAGCAGAATGATTCGATTGATGAATTGCTAAATCAGCTTCAGATACTTGATGTCTCCATTGCGCTGCTAACGTTTCAATTCGTACCTGTTTACGATCAAAGAAAACAGAGCACCGATTTTTCCACAAACGCCAAAGAAGACACACTACCTATAAGCAGAAGTAATCAGCATCAGGTTCATTGTAATTGCAGAGGGAGTGGCGGATGAAGCCTGCAAATGATCCTAACTTCCAAGTCTGTAACCGAGATTGGAATCCAGTGATCCTCCACAACCTACGAGCCACAGGACAAGAGAAAAAGAGATGTTCTAAAGTTTCTTCTCGTCGTCCACAAGCGGTATACACGGGTAGAAGATCCATTCCACGCGTCGCCAAAGCTTCTCGAGTTGGAAGAACCCGCTGTAGGCACTGCCAAAGGAAGAATAGAAGTTTTGGAGGAAGTTTTCGTGTCCAAACCCATTTCCATAACGCCGAATCAATGACTGATACTCCAACTTTCCGTGGAACAGGTCAAAGATGAGAGAAAGCTAAATGATAAGTAGATTTCACTGAAAACAGACCATTATTCCTTTCTCTGCTTTCTTTCCAACAACCGCGTTTCCCTTTGAAATGCCATCCACTCTGGGCCGAGCATGACTGGGCTGGGCCCCAATCCGTTTCTCACTAGTGTTTCAACCCTTCCTTCTGCACGCCTCTTTACTCGGGCTAGCCTGCAATGAGGTTGAGACCAGGCCCATCTTGTTACAAGACTTCTCCACAATCGAAACCTTCTTGTGAGGACTACTGATTGCCAATGGAATTTACTAATTTAGTGATCTATTTGTGCCCGCATAGTCATGTCAATATCTCGAGCTAAACTGACACTTGGAAAATTTCTCATACATTACTTACAAAAACTAGCACCCATACATTAATGATAAAGCATCTAATTTTTTTTATAAAAGAGAGGGGAATTATAAAAAAAAAAAAAGACAATCATCGATCTACTCTGGCTCATCCATGAGCACTCTGCAGGTGGTCTTCCTCACAACCCTACACGAAACTAAGAAGCTAACTACTGTCACCCCGCAAGCAACTAGAAAGCGCACCCAAACCCCCTCAGTCGATGTGGGGTACAACAAAGGAAGAGTCATGTCTACAAGCATAGCAACTGCAAATTTAAGCGTGAGGCAAAGTGCGAGGCTGGGGGCTCGTACGGCCAGGGGGAACACCTCCGGACCATACATCCAAGGGATGGGTCCCAGTCCGAAGGCGATCCCGGCCTCCAGCACGACCAGCTCGAGGCAGCACAGCGCGAAGGTCGTGCCACCATCGAGCCGCCCGTGCGCATCGGCGAAGGTGGTCCCGCTGAGGGACCCGAGCGCGCACCCAGCCACGCCAATGCTCACGAGCAGCAGCTCCTTACGCCCCGCCATGGACCAACTCGCAGCCTCCATCGACGCCAGCGTGGTGAGCAGCTTGATTACTGCCAGCATTAGCCCCGCGATCGAAGAGGCCAGCCTGGACGTCAGCCCCCCGTTTCGAATGAGGAGCGTAGGGACAAAGTGGACGAGGGTCCGTCGCTCCTCGCAGGTTGCCTCCTGGGCGACAAGCAGCGCTGACGTGGCGAACATGTCGCGAAGGTGGGGACGGCCTCGCTCCTTCAGTTGGGCCCAGCACCCCGGTATCCTCCTCGGGAAGGCCTCCACGTGGCTGGAATTGACGATGGCGAACATCGGGAACCCCGCTACCCGTTCCAGCTGTTCCCTCCTGGTGTACGGCTCCGTTCCCGTGGCTCCGCATAATTCCATCTGTCGCTCCGCGGAGGCCAGCTTGCCGAACATGAACTGCCAGCAGGGCGTGTCGTCGGCGGCAGTGAGTCGGAACAGCGCGTAGTAGACGAACAAGGCTGTGGGCAGCGCGGTAATTCCCAGGCTCACTCTCCAAGCTATATGTGAAGGGGCCCACAAAAGTGCAGACTCCAACACATATGCTGACGCGGCTCCCGCCATCATCAGTACCTGGTTAACACAATATCAGTTAAGTTAATATTCTGTATTAATTTTACTTAATATACTCTCAAGATGGTATTTAATTTGACGAAATTAATACAAAAAAAAACTTACCTGAGGGATGGCACCGTGGTAGCCGCGTGTCGTAGAGGGTGCAGTTTCGGCGATGAAGATGGGGCCAACGAGGAGACCCATCCCGACGCCGAAACTGGAGAGTGCGCGGCCGCACATGGACGCCACCCAGTCGTCGGTGAAGGCTACCAGGACAGCTCCCACAACGTAGAGGCCGCCTCCACAGCCGAGGAAGTACCGACGGCCGCAAAGCCAGTTTGCTGCCCCGCCGGCCACGAGGGCTCCTAACGCGTAGCCCCCGTTGCTCAGTCCGGCCGCATATACGGCCATCTGATTCTTGCTGAGGCCCAAATCCGCGACAATGGACCCGGATGCACGCAGCACCGCGATATCTGCGCGCATTTGGATAAATGTAAATGCCTAGCTTAAATATCTGGAATGCATGCATTTGGATAATAATGTATATGTATTATTTGTCTAGCTATATCCTCTTCTATTCATCGACAATACCATCTATTGATCTTAATTAATTAGCAACTAATTATGATAGATAATACAGAAAGATTAGCATTAATCTTACGTACGTACCATAGCCGTAGAGGCAGAATGGATATGAAGCCATGATGGCTAGCTTCGTCATCCTACTTGGTCTTAGTAGGGTCAACACATCCCCGCATATCTGGTGGCAGTAGGTCTTCAGGGACTGATAGCATTCAGAAACAGCACTAGTACTGATCATCGTATTTAATTTAATTTCCTGCCATAAAAACCAAAGAAATATATATGTCACGACCTAATTTCCGGGGACGAACAAACCGGCCTCGGTAGTTTTGTTTCTGGAGGAATGAGATTTGTAATCTTAAAAAAATAAAAACAATTGTACGTAGAGGAAGGGATGACCAAACTAACATCCAAGAGACAGCAAACCCAAAAACAAACAATCCGCCATTGTCGGAAATAATTTTTTTCGCTGTATCAGCAGTTTAAAAAAAGCGTCACTGAAAAGCCTTGTTATTAGCGACCAATAATGTGATTTTTACGGTGACGGAGAAGGGGAATATAATGGTGCAAGGATGGCAGGAAAGGGAACTCACGCTAGCTGCTGCTACGTACCTGTACGTAAGTAAGTGAACAACACTCCCAGATTCCTTTTTAATTAGTTAGCTAGAAGCTTCTATAAGCTGCGAATCAAGGAAATGGCAACCGATCCAAACGAGTGGAGAGGAAAAGTTTGAGTTTCCTTTTCTTGTTTTGAAGATTTGATTTGGTTTGGTTGGGTTGGGTTGAGTTTTCCCCCTGCTTAGAATTGAAGGAGAATTCTGAGCTTTATGCAAGGAAGATAAACAGAGAAAGGAAAGAGGGACGTGTAAAGTGTTAGTGTTTATGCATACATTCTCATACAATCGTCTCCCCTGATCAAATTGTAACGGACTCCAAAACAATGCCAGCTCCACAAATTAAATTAGGACTTGGTTGTTTTCTAGGAAAGGAAGTAATTAGAAACAAGAACTTGGGAGATGAGGAGAGTGAGGACAGTGATCACATGCGATGCGAATAATAAGTCACTTACTTTCTTTCTTTCTTTCTTTCTTTGTTTGTCGTAGATGTATGTAGTAAAGGAAATTGCAGCGACCACAGTGGCAGCATTGCCGCTCTCGGCTAGCTATGTGGTTGGATAGATATAATAATTGAGATCAGCTATGCAATAATTACTCATTTCAAACATAACGTGCCGCAGTATACCATTGCCAATATATATATATTTTTATTACCTACATCATTAATTAACTCGTTTATACAAAATAATATTATTGATTTTGCTGCTTCTTTCTTTTCCCCATTCTTGCATATGTACAAAATAATGCATAAGTACACACACTGATGAAAATATTTATTGAATAATAATCTTACTCTTTATCCAAAATTGTTCGTTTATATCACACTCACTCACTCAATTGCTACTGCAAGCTTTCTTGCAGCTTTGGCTTTAGTTATTAATTAGGGGGTTTAATGCGTTCAACAGTGTAACCCAATTTTCTCCGGCAAGGTAACCATACTACATATCGCAATACTCTTTTGTGGTCCGGCCTTTTGATTTTCTTTCATACTCTGCGATCCCCTCTTTGCTATTTTTTTTGGTATATCTTCCTACCTTTTTCTCTTTTATAAAGTTTTTGACTAGAATGGAAACACTGTGGGCATTATCTCAGCTACCTATATTAATATAGTGTATATTTAGTCAGAAAGGAACGGTGACTTTGCTATGGCCACTCAGAACCAAAACACTGAGGCGAAGGTTGGAAGAATAAGGGCAAAAGAAGGGGTTTGTCCGCTCCTATAATAGGACCTTTTCTTTGAAATCACTAAGTTATGCACTAAAATGGTGCTACTCCCATGGTACGTGTTGATCAGATTGATGTAGCAAGTGACACAATCTTTGTTATCATTTAAGATCGATCGAATGATATCTTTTTAAACTTGTCATGGAGTGATCCTACTTGAAATTCAACATTAACTTACTGCATGTGTTCTAGACACTATTTTCCACGACATATCTTATTTCACTTCATATTTCTATAGTTTTTCTTCTCGTGACAGAACAAACTAATTTTTTTGGAGGTATTATATAGACTACCATAGACCCTCTTGGCCTATTCTACCTCTTGCTTGTTTGCATTTTCTTGGGGTGTCTTTGAATAAAATGATCATTTTAAGCCTTTGTTATGACTCATGTATACTTAAGTTTCTGTGCACTCAAGTTATGTGCATACCATGCATGGTAAATGGAAAAAAGAATTTGAGATATTAAGGATAAGAAGCAGAAATGCGAAAATTTAGTTCTCCTCTATGATGCCCACGATTATGAAGTTATATTCCTCCTAAAATATATAATGGACGTACATTTTCTGATATATCATTAATTGAAATTCCATAAACAAACCAACGACGAGAGGTTATACGTGTAAGCTTTTTTCATACTTTTATAGAGAGGAAAATGTAAGAAAGACTTTTGTTTCTTTCGGTCGAAAACCTCTAATTATTAAACCGTGTAAAAAAGTAGAGAGCGGATTGCTATTTATAGAAAATGAAACGATAGCATGCGAAAGGAGGCAATTCCTTAAATGGTCTGTCTAACCCTTGACCAATGCATTGGTTGGTTAAAAAAACCAAATAATGACAACAACATGCGGGTCCATCATCTTATGCTAGCTCCTTTAACCGGACTTAATTTAAGTAACCCAATTCGCCTACATAGCTCCGACACTCTCACACTCATTCATGAAAACGTTCTTTACAGAGTGCTTACAATTTGTGACTTGATAATTATAAGAGCATAAATTTTTGAAGGGAGATCACAAATTTCTGGATCACCTTCCTTTTCCGATGGGATGGACCGAAAAAAACTACGGGGTCTTATTCATCCTCCTCCGATACCATCTAATGACTTCAGTGTCTCATCAACACCAGTTGAAATATAGGGCTCCATCCATCCTCTCACAAATTTTCATCGACTACCTGTCACCGGCTCCACCAAAGTACAACATCGCTACTCGATATGTGGGGGACTGACGAATTTTAGGGTTCCGATGTGAAAAGAGGAATTTCAAACTTAGAAGGAGATTAGAGTAGTCATTGTCGATCGGCTTAAGATCTGGGTAGATAGGAGACGACGATGAGTTGGGAATCATGATCGGGGAGGAAGAGGAAAGGTTGTTATTTTTTTCTTCGTCAAGCTTGAATTGGAGGATAATAAATGGCCATAGGTTAGAAACGAGGGGTACAAATATATTCTACTTTCTCATTTTTGTAAGGCAAAACTTTGATATTTTTTATTTAAAAAAATAATCAAATAATGAAATGAAATTAGCAGTGTTGTAAGAAAATAGGAATAATTTTCTTGATTGCCCTGTGGCCCGTGCCCTCTGGGGTTACTCGAGTATGGAGTATCTAGGGGAAGGATTGCCTCGGCATACCTTCCCGTTATTTCTGAAGAGATTGTTGGCTTTGGTTGATAATCCGACGTTGTTCATGGCTGTGGTAGCCATCCTGTGGCGGATTTGGCGTTCTCAGAATTGGGTTGTCTTTGAGGGTAACCAGTTCGGAATCCCAGCCTTGATGCGTCAATTCCATCAACAGTATGAGGAGTGGGTTAGCCTGTCCACGGGTCCAGTACCGACTTCGATCATGCCTGCTAGGGTCTCTTTGAATCCAGCTGGAGATAATAGGGTGGTTTGTTTGTGGGATGGGGCCACAAAAAGGGGGTCACATTCGGCTGGTGGGATGGTTCTTTTGAATCCGGACAGGGCGATCCTTTTGGCGAAGGGCGTTCAGTTCCAGTCGATGGATGATCCTATGATTGTGGAGTTGCTGGTTCTGAGGGAGGCTATCGTGTGGTGTCTTGAGCTCGGCTTCTCGGACGTCCGATTTGAGGGGGATGCTAAAGTGCTCATTGATAAAGTCAACAAGGAGGATACTAGAGATAATAGGGTGGGGGCTGTGCTTGAAGAGATAATGTACTATGTTCATGCCCATGCTGGTTTGGCTGTTCTATTTGTAGGTCGGAGTAACAATAGGGTAGCCCACTTGGTGGCTAGAAAGGCCCTTTCTTTGTACCTGGCTATTAGTCGTCACTTTGATTTTCAGACCTGGCTTATTTCCAGGATGTAACTATCGATCTTTGCTATCAATATATGATTATCTTTTGTAAAAAAAAAATCTTTTACGTAAATATTCACAAATCTCATAAACTCTAATTGTGATAATTTTGCTAATATTTTAGTTTATGTTTTGTGAAAAATAAATTATTAATTAAATCAATATAATATTAACACTCTATTCTCGCCCTCAATATTTAATTCTTGAAAAATCGATATTATGACGCTTTGTTTACACAAGTCTTAATAAGCCTTTACAAGTTTACATTAAAAACTCAATTTTCTTCTCACATATGAGATATGACCAATACGACATTCCTAAAAATTTCTTTATTCTATGTCTCCCATTTTATAAAAATTCGCACCATTCAAAATCTTAGCTAGCCACGTTGACTTCCTTCCCCACCCTCATCAAATGAAAAGTAGAAAACCTCCCTTAGCATGCTTCTAAACAACGCTGCCAGGCCCTCCTTCACTCATGGCGGCATTTCACTCCAAAGTCCACAAAATACATTTCCCTTCGTCCATCTCTTTTCCTTTCGGCGGACCCCATTTTCATCATTCCGTCCAACAAACGGAGGAGGTTTACTTACCCGCTTGATTTGACTCCTCCGAAAAGAATGTTTCCTTTTGCTCCAAACCCGTGCTGTCGCAATTGCAAGAGACACCATATCATTTCCATCTGCTCCATTTTCAACCCTAGCAAAAGATGGCTGCCTTTCTTTATTTGAACATCAAGGATTACCGAAGAAACGAGATGGAAAAGAAGGTTCTTAGTTAGTAGTAGAGATACAAATGTGAAAATTGAAATCCTAAGATGAGATCCAACGGGAGTCAAAGTTAATAGAGATGAGATGAATATGCAGCAATTCACTTCTCTGTTCAACAAGGCCTACTATTACAGAAAGAATGATCACAAAATTTGGCAAACAATGATGTATCTAAACAAAATTCTCATTGATCATTTAGGCTTATAATGTACGAAATGATGCTCAATAATGGGGGCAGTTCGAGTTCCGACAGCTACAGGAGCTCTGACATGTCCGACCATGGAAACCTGCAGAGCTTCCTCCTCATATGCCCTCCTCTCCATCTCCACCATCCTCGCTTTCTTCTTCACCTTGGCAAACATCGCCACCAGAAGCAAACCCAACAGCACAATCGCCAATGCACTCCCCACGCTGCTCCCCACCGCCACTTTCCACATCGCCACTCTGCCTCCTCCTTCCTCTGCTCCATACGGCGGTGGGGCTGGCGGCGCCTGCGGAAGCTCCACCACCAACCCAAAATGACCGTTGGATGTCGAACCGCAGAGATAAGGCGAAATTGGGGGTTCTATGCTCACAGTGCTCCCATCTTTCCCAAAGCTAGCACACAGAGGATTAGCGTGATCGTCATGGGACATAGCGCCGGTGAAATTTACAGTGATTGGATTTCCATGATCGGAACGAATTTTGACTTCGAAAGGGTAGCTTGAATTCGGGTTGTTGCTGGTCTTCTTGCCGGCACTGTAGGCAGTAAGGCCGAGAATTGGTGACACGAGTTGGTAGCCAGAGAGGTTGTAGTTTGCAGAGTAGAAGGATATTGACCAATTGAGGCCCAAGTTGTGTGTGATCAACATCACTCTGTCCACGCAAGGGAACAAGTGGACGCCGATTCCTAGGTGGAATTCGTCAAACCGGGCGCCGTACCGGGTCAAGCTGCCGCACCGGAACCTCGCTGCGTGAGCCCGTACGCTGCCGGAGAGGTTCGGCGGGAGGTGGACACTCTGCATTTCCCCTGTTTTCGTCATGTTCAAGCTGCCACTGAAAGTGTAGTTTCTAATGAGGAGATCTAGCATCTTTGGCGATGTGATGGGCTTCTGAGCTCTTGCTGATGAGAATGACAGGAGAATTGTCATGAATACGAAGGAGTGAAGATTGAGCATGGTTTTTGGAGTATAGAGGGAGTGGAAGAAAGGAAAATTGGTTTTCCGTTTGGAGGGAGGGAGGGAGGGAGAACTGAGGGGTCTTTTTGGTGGAATCAGAAAGAAGAGAGAAGGGGGGGAGTTCTTGGCTTTGTTACCCTTTTATGCATTGGATTTGAGTCAAAGTAAAGAAAGTTTAGCTTTTGATAGCCTTTTGGTGTAAAGATAGTAAGATACTAAACAACTTTCCTGTTTAATTTTCCAATGGAGTAATTGTGCATTATGCGCACTCAAATCATGAGCAATTTTGCTAAATTTATGCAAAGATTGTACTCGAAAGGCAAGTGTTAAAAGTCAAAAGAGTCAACTTGAGGTATGTTGAGTTTGTCTTCTTGCCTAATTTGATTTCAAAATTGAAGAGACAATTGAAGAGACAAGGGTGGGTATTAGTTAGGTAAGATGGGTGGTAAAATTTTCATCTAATCATTTTCATTTTGTTTGACTAGGGGAAAGTTAATCTGCTAACTTAAAGATTCGTTAGCAGATACTAATTGATATCCAAAATACATGAACTAATATCTAAGTACTAAAATATCTAGAGAGAACAGACTAGTATTCAAAGTTTGCTAACTGATATCCACCATGAATCAACTATTATCCCAAATTCACAAACTAATATCTAGACTACACAGAATAGTATCCAAACAGCACATAATTAGTATCCAGATAACACATAAGAGTATCCAGATAACCCATAAGAGTACCATATTGAATACTAGTTGGTTGATTGTGGATATTAGTTTGTATCTGCTATCTGGATACTAGTTTGTGATGTTTTGAATACTACTCTATGTCATCTAGATACTTAGCAGACTTGGATATTAGTTAATATATACTAACGAATCTTCAAGTTAGCAGAATAACTAGACTGGATCATGTTTCAATACCTTATCAACAGTTTATTTTAGTTATTCACAAAATGGGGTTCTATTAGTTATAAATAAGACATTTGATTTTCATTCATATTCACAACAATTGATGCATTGCACATGTAAGAGAAAATTCATAAAAAGGAAGACAATAGATGAAATTACAACCTCTTATACAATAAAAGATGAAGATAATGGGTGGCTGAAGTTCCCATGTCACAAAATGAGAGATTTAGGATCGACTGAATTTTTCTTCCCCGAACTTTTTATCATTCAAGTCTAGTAATTGTAGAATTGTGACCATTGAATTATAGTGAAACGTCTAAGAAAGGGTGTGAACATCCGGAGTATGGAGGATTAGGGGGTGGGGAGAATGATTTAGGGGCTTCGAAGGAGTGGGGTTAAGAACTAATGATCATCACCATTTAAATACAAAGAAAGGCAATTGCGGGAAAGTTGGGGGGATTGGCGTGCTTAAGGAAAGTTATGGAAAAGCTAGAGAGGGCTTGCTTTCTATGCCTGGAATGTCAATGACTCTGTGGTTGATGACCATGTCTCATATTTAGTGCTGGAATATTGGTTTCGGTTTTTCGAGTTTAATCGAAGCCCCCGATAAGGATATTATTTAGTTTGAATTTTCTATTCCAAATCAGTTTGTACATTATTGGTTTCGGTCTAATCGAAAAAATCGATAAGAAACTGAAATCGAAGCGGAAAAACATTAGACATGATGTGTAGGGGGTTTCAGTTTTGATTGAGGTACAAGAATTTCAATTTTTGTTTCTGAAACCAAACATATTATTATTAAGGGCTTATGGATTTTTAGTTAGACCTTAATGAGATCAATATCCTGTTTAGGAGAAACAACCAGGTTGGAGTTCATATTTTACGGTTTAGATTCGTTTAATCGAACCAAACCGACCTACCCCTACTTCACCACCTGCCCTTAGTGAAGTTGTGGTACTCATGTCATTTTGCGTTATTTAAGGTCGCATACATATTTCCTCTTCTTTGTCTGTGTTTCTTTGACGTGCCGACAATGTCCTTTATTGGCCCCACAATTGCATATGAATATGATATAGCATGGCCAACGACTCTAAAACACAAACCTATGAACCGATAATGGTCCAAAATTACCATTGACACAGACCTCTTTTTTTTTTTTTTTTTTTTTTCATTTCCTTTGTTGGAGTCTTGGAGATTTTAGCCAATGGCATCTTCCCTTATTTTTTGGTATACTGTTGTTCCTCCTATCGAATTACTTATCGTCGATTGAACATCATGAGTATTTCATGTCCGACTATTGAATAGGGAACCAGCTGCAAAGCGCCCGGTTAGAGGGCCCCAATTCATACGTTACCAAGCACAACACGTCGTTTAAGGACACGATAAAATGCCTCAATATAGGATTGGACTGAAACAACTACACTAGGGAATAGGGATGTTGGCCAACTTGCTTGCAATTCAAATAGTTCGTAAGCAAGTGAACTTCCCATTTGTCTCCTCAATTTGATAAGTACAGTAGTCTTCTGTACCATACAAAAAGGACATTAGGCCAACAGAAAGGTGTCTACCTACCCTTTCGCCCAGTAAAATGTCAAACCAAAAGTGAAAAGAGAAAGAGTCAAAACTCAAAAACAAAGTGACACAAAAAAATTGGGCTTAGTGGAAGTTGGCATTTGACTTGTAAGTGGACCCAGAGTTCCAGTTCGAAGGTGCAACGTTCATGGCGTAGATGATCTCCTTAGTCGAGTAGGATTGCACCCTAAAAGAGAGCGACTGCCCACCCAAGCTCGAGAACGCCTGGTAAGAAGCTCCCCAGTTATGGCTCATGCTAATCCACCCTGTCTTGCTTCCCTTCACCCACATCTGCGCAATGTCACCTCCTCCAGCCACGTTCATCACGTACACCAACAGCCAGTACCCATTGCCCTGGAACTGGAACCTGATCCCGCCTTTCGGTGTACACGGGACCCGACGGAACATGACGGGGACGATCCCGGCCTTCCACTCGGCGATCCTCATGAACGCCGGCTTCGACATGTCGAAGTGGGACCTGGGAGGGTTGCACCACCCGCCGCTGTTGGAGTCCTGGGACCAGTTGGGAGGGCAGATGTTGGTGGCGGTCACGGTGACGAACGGTGTCGAACCGTAGCAATGAGGAGAATTCACACATTTGATCTGGAAGCATGCCCCACAAGAGTAGCCGTTGTTGAACAATGTCGTGCTCAATGCGGCCGTGTTTGTACCGTACCCGTTTTGGAACAGATTTCCGTACCCACAAGCTCCTCCTATATATCAAATAAAAAGATTTAATGATATAATTAATTCAACAAATTAAATAATTGCATGTGACGAGTTGGTTTAATTTGCTGGATAAAATGTGAGTTTATTAATTATATGTACCCATGGTTGCAGAGGCAGTCTCGTCGCCATAAAATGTGGCGTGAGCCAGGGACCATTTGCTCGGCCGGAAGACGGGCAAACGTCTGATTGCCGGGCTATAGCCGGCGGCATCGATTGGGTGAACAAAGATGAGACTAGAGACTGCTACCGATGCTAGTACTACGAAGAAGCCATGTATCTTTGTGTTCCATGTACAAGCCATTCCTTCTTCTTTGCTTATTGCTAATTCAGCAACAACAAAAAAGAGAGATTTCAGCTTTCTATCCAAGAGGATTTTGGTGACTTTTTTTTTGTGTAGGATGTGGCTTGATTGACGATTCAAAAATTGACAAAGGTACGTTGCCCTTAAATACTGTTGTATGTTGAAGAGGGTTTCCCTTCCTGCCCCAGAAAATAATGCCCTTCGTGGGGGCACGAAAGGATGGGTTGGCGGCTGCCTTCCTAAGTCAAATTCATTTTCCATTTTCATTACAGGGAAAAAGGGAGAAAGGGAATGTTTTTAGATTTTGGTAGTGGTTGTCGTGCACGCAGGTTTTCTTGACACATTGACATGTTTTTTTTTTCTTTTCTTTCCCCTATATATACTGACATGTTTTTTCTTCTTTCCTATTTTTTTTTAATAATGTTCTTTCGTATTTTTTTAATTAAGTTTTTGTCACAAATTCGTTGGAGAAAATTAAAATGGGAATTAAAAATTACGGTTATTAAATTTTAGCTAAAATATTTGTATTACACAGGTGAATACGAAATAAAGCAAGTACAGTGTTTCAATTGAGGCACCAAGAAATATTCATGTCCATATTTATCAAAAAGTTTAACTTGCGTCGTAGCTGTCAGTAACGTTTCTTTACCAGTTATTAACGTTACTTATTATTAACGTTTCAACACTGCGTTATTAACATTTCTTCAGCAGTTATAACGTTTCACGACTACATTATTAATATATAACAAAGTGCTATCAATAATATGCTCATTATTAACTTTTCTTTACCAATTATTAATATTTAACACGACACTATCAACAAGTCCAAATTGATCCCTTTTTCTGACGCTATTTTCACGAAATTGATTCACTGATAAAGTTCATTATAAATTTAGGTCGCTCTGATTTTAAAATTTTTAAGGGCGATGGTCAATGTTTTCTTTTAACAAGATTACCTTATATTTGTACTTTTCTTATCGCGCTATCACTTTGGTTACAAAAAATATCGCGCTATCAACAAACATGTATGTTATTGAGAATTTTTTTTCTTACGACCAGTATACAACCATTATAAAAAAATTAATACATTATTCTTATGACCAGTGTATGTGTGTGACTTTGTGAAATGCCATTATGAATGTTTTGTTTTTGTTATTAACATTGTTCGTTTGTATTGCTCTTTGTTCACTCATTGATTATCAATATATTTATATGCAATTTGTAATTTTTGACAGTGCTCCACCCATTATTAATATTTTCAACGTCATTATCAACATTTTTATAGTGTTCTACCAATAATCTGTTAGCTTAATTAACGTGTACTATTATCAATCGGTGTTCACTATTAACTGTTTCTTCACCTATTATTAATATTTTCAATGTCATTAGCAACATTTTTAACGGCGTGCTATTAATAAGTTGTCGGTTCGATTAACATGAACTATTATCAATTTTTGTTCATTATTAACGATTTTTAACCCATTATTAATATTGTTCGCTGCACTACCAACAATTTTACAGTACTTCAGGAGAATAGATTGGAGATGATGAGGTCAACCAAGGATTTGTTGTTGATGAGCCATTGGTTCCTATGACCTGCATTATGAATTGCAATGTTCACGACTGGTACCGAGCTATCATCATTCGGAGACTCATCGTATCCAAATTCTAGTTTTGAAATCTGAAGACTAAAAAAAAAGATGCATTAATTTTTTTATTTATTTTCATATATGTAAAGCAAACAACTCAACATCCATCCCCTCAATATCCACTGCAATGTCACCTTCACTTCCCGTTAAGTTGTTACCAACATCTTGCCTCTCGAAGTTTTCATCACAAGGTATTTTATTTAGATCTATAGCGTTGAGTATATATCGTTAGCAACAACTTTATAAACAGTTTATAACGTCGTCAAACAATATTATTAATCATTATTAACCTTGCCACTGCACTACTATTAACAATATCATTAGAGTCATTAACTGGTAACTAACAAGTTTTATATTGGAATATGACATAGTATAATATATAGCGAAGGTTTCCGAATTTGTACTATAAAAATTAGCTAATTAAATGGTTCCTTAATTAGCATCCTTCGTACATTTTTTGTTTAACACTTAGTGGAGATGTTCAATGTTCAAATTCAGCTACTCTATAATCTAGAAGTTGAAATCAAGTATTGGAAACACGTCGAGAATCTGGTAGATTATCATTATATATGGCTCCTTAGTCATTTACACTAGATACGACATATGGCTAACATCTATTTCCCCATACATATATTAAAGACTACAGGAAAACGTATTCAGTATTAGAAGAACTGGGGGCAAATTGACAAACCTTTATTGAATAATAAGCAAGAAACATAAATACAAAAAGTTTCAGCTTACAACTCGAGCTTCCCGACCACATGATCCCCCTTATTACCCCTTGATTTCAGTTCACAAGACTCAATTATCAAGTTCAAAGTTTGGGTTAATATCTTCATATAGTCTGAACTTTACTCTTCTTTAACATTTGGGTTGGCTCATAGTAGACTCTGACAGCTTGCCCTTGTGACCGTCAGGGTCCATCGCTACAGGAGAGGCACTAAGAGATGCATATAATTGCTTATTGGGGCTTGCTCGATGATTGTGAGAAGGTGCATGAGCACTCGTGTGAAGCTATAAGGCGCCATTCGAGGGCTTCAACTGTCATGGGATTCAGGGCACCATCGAGTTAAGCTACAATTAGACTTCACAACGACCATTAACCTTCTCTTAAACTCGGCGTCGACAAAGCAACATCATACCTGTTTGATTATTACTTTCAGGGAGCTTAACCAATGAGATTGGGAGGTTAGAGTTATCCATATCTATAGGGAGGCAAACTTCTTGGCATATTCTTTAGCCCATAACAGTCACTCTCAGCCGACACTCATTGTATTAGTCTTTGTTGGGGGTGGATTAGTTGAGAGGTTTAACTGATTTTGGTTTTTTTTTTTTATTAATTCCTTCAATGACATGAATGCTGATGAGTGATGGGAAAACTGACTTGACCAAATTGACAATTTTTTTAATGAAGAAGGATGAAATAATCGTTTTGATATACGCTCAAACATATGTTCCTTTGTTTTTTACTAATTGCAAATATTGTTAAACTCTATGCTATTACCCAATTTTTGATACGGTCCTTGAATGATTTGTTCTGGTTTTGAATCGACAGACAAATGCCAACTCATATATGCCTTATCTTTGTCCCAAATTGGTTGTGGTAGAAGGCTAGAAGCTGCAGCTGCAGTATAGACCTTGCCTTAGAAGACGAATATAGGATATTGCATATGTGTGACTGGAAAAGTGGAAATAGTATGGAAGAAAGGAAACCAATTCATATTTTGACTAAAATGAAAAAAATAAAACTATCAAATTTCTTATTTAATGTTGACTAAAATAAAAATCAGATTATCGGATTTATATCTCCTCGCTCAACATCACCCTCCACCCCCAAAGTAGAAAATGTCTTAGTTTCTCTGATTTTTAAAGGCAAAATACACTTGCATAGCCAAAACTTTCACATTTGTGCCACTTATAGCCACATTTGGCGAAATACCACTAATAGCCACTTTCGTCCGATTCTTTAACGTTGTTAACGTTAAGTGTGACTGGGCAAACGGAAGGGCTTACGTGTCAAGCCTGCGTTTTACACGTGGATAATAATTAAAAAAAATTACAAAATCCCTAATTTTTACACCGTCGTCGTTTTGTACTTTCTATCTACTCCTTCGTTTTCTCCTCAGTCGAATTCACCCACCCATATTCGAAGACGACGAAGGCAGCAAAGTCGACGAAGGCGACGATCTGCCTCCGACGACCAGCGTACCCAACCTCTCTTCCTTCCCCCACCATCGAAATACCCAAAAACCTCCAGTCCCGGTTTTCCTCCTTCGATAAAAACATCCATGCATCCAATGGGTTGACCAACCGGCGGCGAGCTTTGGCGGAGTCCTTCGAAGCTTGTTTTGTGTTGTTTGCTTTAAAGGAATCTCGGAATCGACCCTTGCAATTCGCGATTTGACTGGGTTCGTCGAAACCCTAATCGCACTTGAAAGGGGGATTTTTGCTCCCACTCTTGTGTCGCGACTGGTAAGGTTCTGTTCTTGCTTTGTTACTGTGGTTGTGGAATGCGGGGTGAAGGTTCTTATAGTTTACTGCTTCTCGTTGTTGTTTGGTTGGTATCGAGCTGTAAAGACAAGAAAGCGACACGGCAGAGGAATCTCGGGACCACTCGATTGATCTTTTTTTGGCGAGTTTGCCCCCATAATTGAAGGTCAGTTAGTCGATGTACTGGGTTAGAATTGTCTATTCCTCTTTGATTCCCACGAACCCTAGAATTGAATACTATTAGCAATTTTTTACCATTTGTTTGGTAGCGATTAAAATAGTGTGAGCATTGTTTAATCACGTGGTTAATGGTGATTAAAAAACTGATTAAAGCTTGATGACAGATGGTTGATTCTTGGGACTTTGCTTTTGGGGAGAACGATCCAGAGGCTGTGGTAGTATCAGATTTCTCCTTGCCTGCAGAAGATGGATTTGAGGCTTCTGTTGCTAGAGACATATACCACGTATATGACTCAGACGACGTTGATACTTCTGACGATGAATACCACGAAGCAAGGTCAAACCTACGAGCCTATGGGGAGATGAGGAAAAGGGAGGTTAAGGCGCGGATTGATGGCCATGGGGAGGAGGTCGAGAAGCTGGATGATTTTGAAGAAGAGGAATCTGATGATGAAGATGATGCTTTGGCTGATGAACACGAAGAGGAAGATCCTGTTGCCTCTCATGCTAATGAACGCGAAGAGGAAGGAGTTGTTGGCTCTCATGCTGATGAAGGAGTCCAAGCTAGTGAAGCACCTCAAGTTCAGTAAACAAGGGGAGAAAACTCAAACCACTCAAGTTATAGAGGATCTGAAGACTCAAACCACGTCAAACCTAACCTATCTAACTCGGATGGTAGGGAATTGTTCGATGACGCACCGCATTATGATCCGCTTTGTGATCATACTATTCTGGAGTTCGTGCCAAGGATGAAGTTTGCTAGTGCTGTGGAGTTCAAGGCTGCTGTCGTCCATCACTCTGTAGCTGCCGGGGCTGGTTTGAGGTGGCTTAGGAGTAATCCAACAAGGAGGGAGGTTAGATGCAAGGACACGAATTGCAAGTGGAGAGTATATGCTAGCTGGTTCCGCAAGAACCAGAGTTTCATGGTGAGGAAGGCTGGTCTGGCTCATTCATGTGCAAGAAAGCTTCGTGTCAACCAAGTAACTGCCCACTGGATTGCGAGTGACATGTTGGAACGGTTTAGAATTA